GGCCCTAGCATTTCAAGGATTACTCTTTTAATCTCCATAAAGGTAACTCAAATAGAGAGTGGCAGATATCAGCTGCAGTAGTTTTAACAACTGGCTGATACTTTCATAGGAGCACTTTTATTTGTGTCATTTAAAATATTGTAATTGTATCCCTTGAATGTGTTTGCTATGCTCATCATTTACAAAATGTAGATTTCATTCATTAAAGCATAAACATATTGATTATACTTTAAAATCTGTGTTAATTTTATTTTGTATGTATTTTTTGTCTTTTAAGAAGATAAAAGGGGGGATGAATAGATGAGATTGTACGCTAGCGCATGGTGATAATAATTACATGATGATAAAGGGCAATGATGTGATTCAAGAATGGTGTGTTTGTATGCTGGTGAGTTATTGTTATAAGTTGGTGTTTATTTATTCATTTTTGTTCTTTATTTATTTTTTGTGTGGGGGAAGGGGGGGGGTGTTCATGAAGAAACAAAATTACGGCAAGCAAAGCGTTGTGATGGGAGTGTCGTTTTATGTTAATGAGAGAGAGAGAGAGTATGTGAACGAAATAAGGACACATAATTGTAAGCGCATATGGTAAAAAAAAAATATAGAAAAAGGGGCACATAACAAAATGGAAAAGGGTCACTTCTAAGAAGAAAACATAAAAAGTTATTAGAAATAACAAGAGGAACTTTAAAACAAAGTGAAACGGGACAAACTACATGAAGGAAAAGTGCACTTGTAATAAACAAAAAGAGATGTTAATCTGATGTAAAAGGGGCACTTAAACCCTATCTAACATGGGTTATTTTGAAACTTCATAGCCTGGGGGGTCCGGGCCCCCTCCCCTGGAGAAAAAAACGTTAAATGTACCTTTTTTTGGAGATGGGCCCCCTCTCCTGGCGCTCAAGGGGGGGGGGGGTGCGATTTTTCAAATTTTCGAGGGCCCCCCTCCCCCAATAATTTTTTTTGATTGTTCACTACCCCCCCCCCCCCCCTGAGCGAATTATCGGCCGGCTGTTTCGCTGCTAAATATAGTCTCACGAATTGGGCCCCCTCCCGTGCCGCCGGCTGGATAAGGCCCCCCCCCCCCCCCCAGGTTAGATAGGGTTAAGGGGAAAACGGGCCGCCCATGTATTTTTGAAGAAAAAATGGGCCATTGTGCTCCCCCCCCCCCTCCAGAGTGCCACAATTGGTATTGATAATGCCTGACTACGATGAGAATTAAAAAAAAAAATTGGTTATGAACAAAGATTTGTTCCCCCAAGAACAGAATTCTTCATTTTCAGATGTATGGTCAAATTGAAGCTAGCCAACACTTGCGCCTTTAAAACCAATGAATGCTGAACATAGCATATCAATAATGCAATGAATGAGGATAAAATTGATTTAAAATTGATATGGATCACACTCTAACTTAAAATCGATTTTAAGGCCAAAATCGATTTTATTTATTTAGTGAAACTGCTGCTAAAATTGAAGTCAATTTTAGGCCCTTAAAATCGATCAAATCGATTTTAGATCGATTTTAGGGCTTTAGTGAAACACCCCCCAGGTACCCATTTACCTCACCTGGGTCGAGTGTAGCAAATGTAGGTTAATGTCTTGCCAAAGGACATTAGAGCAACGCCGGGACTCAAACCGCGGACCTGGTGCAACAGTCCGGTGACATATCCACTCGACCACGACACCTCTACATCAAAATTAGAAAGATGGGAGGTGAAAAGCCGGAAAGCGCACTTTTCGTTGGAAGCGTCTCGAACGAAATGATAGAAACTAGTGGCTGAGATACCCTCATTTACAGGAATATTTTTTTATCATCAAATTACATGTATAAAAGAAATGTGGTGTTGAAAAGAAAATAGAGTAAATGGAAAAAATATAAGAAAGGTTATGAGTTGGAAGGTCATTTTAAAGTTTGAAGGTATAGACTAGTTTAGGTCATGCGATTGTATTGTGAAAGAAACGTTGTGGAAGTATTGGTGTGTACTGCAAGGTTCTGGAATCATCAAAATGATAAGAAATTTGGCCCAGTCTTGGTAAAGTTACAAGCACTGTACATAGAAAGATGTATTTGGGAGTACGCCATATGTATCCAGTCCGGATAGATATAATAATTTACCAAATATATCAATTAGTAGGCGGTTTCCTGGCAAAAATGTTATCATCACGTATTAGTCAAAACGTATTCTATCACATGATTTGTAATAAGAGCTTCCATTTCATTTTTTGAGAGGGGGCGTTTCCAAAACTGGTCTATACCTTTCAAAACGAGGAAATTAGATTTAAAGTTTGGTAAGACGATAGCAATCATGTAATAATGATAGAAAACAATATACCTATCTGTGCCATGAACAAAATAACGCCCAAAATAGATTATTCCACTTTGCCAACCTTGCAGAGCTAATAGAACCTATGATTTATGCATCTCAAAAGTATCGATTAATAATAATTGATTACACGCACTACAAGTTTTGAAGGCCACATTGTCAAATCGTAATTCAAAATAAATTCACTTACACACATGCCATTTATCATACAGCTATACAGTAATACCTTTATTTTATTAACAGCCCCTGATGTAAACAAGGTCATTACCTTACGATATTTTAACAAAGGGAATAATAAACAAGAATCAACAAAGCAGGAAATAAATGCCACAAAGTATTAACCTTTAGGATCAAGGCCTGAAGTTTCTGAAGTGGATTCACAAGTAAAACAGAAAGCCAAAAACAGATTTGTATTAGTTGCGGATTTAAGCATCCTGTTTATTTGCATCACAACAGCTAGGAAAATCATCAGTCATTATTCTCATTTAAACACTTTAGAAAGTAGATGTGAGCTTGGTTCTCTCCATGTAGGCCTCCAACATAATATTGCAAGGGATACAAAGGCAGCAGGGGGCTAGCGCAGCCGGACAAGAGTGACGGGAAGCTCATCATCGCTGTGCAGATGGGTACCTTTCATTATTTCGTTGACTGCGTTATTATATTGAACCGGCAAAAGTTGAGAATCTTCCATTTATGTTAATTGTTATTAACTCCCTTTCTCAGACTTCATAATTATAAAGTTGATGAGACAAGGAGGGGAGATATCAAGGAGGGGAGATATCTACACGACTATTGCTCATTGTGACCCTTCTCTATATTATGAAGACTTTTTCATGACTGTCGTCTTCTGCAGTTTGGACGTGGAATCCCCTTAGTACGTCGGACTTATTATCACCATTCTCGAACTAAAACAACTTTTCACTATTGTTCTGGTCGACATCATAGCCTACTCGTTGCAGAATATCGCCATGTACACGTGTGTACGCCTCCTGAAGGATAAGTACTCTAAACATGACTATGAGGAAGATTTCATGAACTCTTTATAAATCCTCAATAGTTCTGTTGAAATAATATAATAGGCCGTACATAATAAGTCAATTCTTAACCGAATGATTTAACATTTGCATGAGGCAGTTCGTTACTGGAAACTTCGTCTTCAATCGAGGCATCTAGGAAATCATCATGTTGGTGTCTCCTGTTATTCGTGGAACAGTCTCGAGGATGCCTGTCTTCCTGTGGATTGTGGGTGCCCTGTCTTTGCTTTCTGGATCACTACCTTTTGAGGATGTTCCAAGAAAATTGGAAGTTGTCTCACCAGGGCCCCATGGATGCCGCCTTAATACTTCAGGTCGTGGAACCAAAGTGTTCTGTACTTGCCTGGATCTCATATCTGTTCCTCAAGATCTTCCCAATAACACCATAATGCTTGATCTCGCATACAACAAGATTACAACGCTCTACAATGAATCTTTCGCCTATCTTCTAGACATAATCACCCTCGGGCTAAGAGAGAATGGTCTCCGACAGGTGGAAGGAGGAGCATTCCAGCCGTTGATTCATCTAAAAGAATTATCACTGCAAAGAAATCGGTTAGTTTCTCTTCCATCAGGCTTGTTTAGCTCAAACTATCGTCTCTCAAAACTCATCCTCTCTGGAAACCAACTTGGTTTAATTCCAAGTAGCTCGTTACCATTATTAAACAATATGACTTTACTTGATTTGAGTTCCAATAACATTTCCACCATCAATTCCCACGATTTTAGTCCTTTGGAGAATTGCTCGTTGACTAGACTCTATCTCAATTCGAATGCTTTACATGATCTGCCATCCAGAGTATTTTCATATTTGAGGAAAGTTGACAAATTGTTTCTTAAAATAAATGTCTTTTCTAAACTTCACATTTCCTCACTTTTAGGAAATACTAAAATTCAAAGGCTTTACTTGGAAGGCTGTAAAATAAATCGTATAGTTCCACTTAACCGCTCTTCTGTAACCTTAGATGACCTGCCTACAATCATTAATTTAAGCTTGGCATCAAACAGGATAAGTTCCATAGTAGACTTCACATTTTGGGGTTTAAATCATACAAATGTTATTAAACTTCAGGCTAACCGCATTTCTCTGATATCAAATAAACCTTTTTGTGGATTGGACCAGCTGATGGAGTTAGATCTATCCCATAATAAGTTAGCTTCCTTAACCTCTGGTATATTTTCCTGTAACAAAATGTTACAGAGAATAAAACTTGCCGGGAACAACATTGCTAGCTTTTCAACTGATATACTATCTGGTCTGCCTTCTCTCACCCACTTATACCTCGCACAAAATAGTCTCAGTGACGTTGTGAGCAATCATTCTCTGATAATTCCTTCTCTGGAATTTCTGGATATTTCTTTCAATAAAATCAAATTGATCAAAAAGTTTTTCCTTTGGGGTTTGATAAATCTCAAAATACTAATGGTGTCCCATAATGAAATTGAACACGTTTACTCTCCTCATACTTTCGCAAAGTTGGAATACCTGACACATCTTTATCTCAACAATGAAGTTTCCCAAGCCATAACAACGGTTTTTAGCTCCATGGGTCGTCTTTCTAAATTGGATTTATCGTTTTCAAAATTGCATTTTTTAAACCAAAGTCCATTCAAAAACACTTCGTCTCTTGTGACACTGGCTATGCGTGAAGACAAGTTAAAGAGTGCTGATTTGTTTAGTATGTATCAAAAATCACTTTTTGATGGACTGAAATCATTGCACACGCTAGAATTAACAGGAAATTTTCTAGAAAGCTTACAACCAGGTACTTTCAACCCACTTGTGAAACTCAGACAATTGTATTTGTCTAAGTGTTCTATCAAGGTATTAAATCCCAGAATCTTTAGCAGTCTCGCTTTCCTATCAAGCCTGTATCTTGACCAGAATGAAATCACGAAGATCCCCGAGGATCTGCTTCACAGGCAGCATCACCTGACTATCCTGTACATCAGCAACAACAAATTGGACTCGATTCCTATGACACTGTTCAACGAAACTCCTTTCCTGCACAGGCTTCATATGGATGGAAACCAGATTTCCACAATAACACCTTACACCATGTTTCCAAGAAATGGTACAATGACACTAGATGCGTCTCGAAACCCCTTTTCCTGCACATGTGACCTTAGTTGGTTTGTGCAATGGATCCGTTCTAGCAACGTTGATATCATTCATCCTAATGACACACTTTGTTCACTCGCTTCATTCGAAGAAGAAGTGCATTCACCTATCATGACATTCCATCCCGAGCAGTACTGTGGCATCAACATTTTGGCTGCCACATGTGTACCCTTGGCAGTTGTTCTGCTTGCAGTGATATGCTTCATGGCTTACCGATATAAATGGTGGCTCAACTACAAGATCTTCCTCTTAAAGCTAGCAATCCGTGGTTACGAGGAAATCAACCATGACTTTGATGCACAGGAATATGAGTACCAGCTAAACATTATGTACATTGAAGATGATGAGGGGTGGGTGAACGAGGTCATGAAGCCGGTCCTGCAGGAGAGGTTTCCACATCTGCAAAAAGTGGTTTGGGGTGACAACAACCTCAACATCTCGATGTTCTACATCAACGCTCTTCATTATGCAACTGACAACAGCTTCAAGACTGTCCTGTTGATTAGTTACAACTCGGTGGATGATGCCTGGTTCCTGACCAAGCTGCGCATAGCCCTAGAGCACCTCAATGACACCAGACTGGAAAAGGTCATACTTATTTTCCTTGAGGACATCGAGGATGATGACCTTCCGTACCTGGTACGGTTGTTCCTGAGTAAGAACAAACCTTACATGCTTTGGACCGAGGACAAAGATGGCCAGGAACTTTTCTGGGCCCAATTTGAAAAGAGCATGAGGACAAACAAGGCATTCAATAATGTTATTCCCATTTAACTTCAATTCAAATGGCAACAGCTCTTAAACAGATTTGTTCTTATATAAGAAAATAACAAAAAACTTTAGTTTGTTGCAACAGATTCATCATTAAAGCCCATCTTTATTAGCTTGGCTAAGAGGGATTAGACCACCCAGGAACGTCACTGACAGGTGGCTCTCTCATCAACTCAGCTCTCAATTAACATAAAACAAAGAGGATCATGGGAGACCAATGGTCACCAATTAGACATTGTTTTCTATATAGAGGGAGCAAGTAGCTACAAGTAGTACAGTTGGCCTTTAAAACATCGACCTGTAAAAAATAATATGATGTTTTTTGTAGTTTTAAAATAGAGTAAATTACGTGACCATTAATTATTATAATATTCTTCTATTTCACTAAACATGCTGAAAAGATTCTTTGCCTGTACAAGTTGGAAATACATGTCCAGTATTTCCAGAACAGAATTGTGAAAATCACTTAAACACGTAACATTGAGTGATGATTCTAGGACAATCACCCCTGAGGGCAATTACCCCCAGAAATTTACCCCCTAGGATAATTCCCCCACCCCCCCCCCCCCCGAGAAAAATTATCCCCTCCCCGAAAGGAAATTCTTCTAATTATTCAAACCAATTCGTTATAAGGGTGGACTTGCCCTTGATGAAAAGGGGGAGTTAATATTCGGGTGGGGATAGTTGTCCTTGGTTGTCCTGTGGTCATACCAAATAAAGGAAAACAATTAATATAGGCAAATATTTGTAATATTCTTTATAGTTCGTCGACCTTTCTTGAAATTTCTTGCTAATGTATAATTATTTTTACCCCAATTTATGGAATGATTTTGACAATGATTTATTCCTAATAGATCTAAATAATAATATATCTTCGGGCGGCCTATAAAACTCTAGTCCCCGCTGCGTACAGTAATGATTCAGTGGCTTGGGAATGGCCTCGTTACTGTGAGGCCCCAGAATCAAAACCGTATCGATCAGCTATATTAGTGCCATTTGTGAGGCTTTAATCCTCATTACTGTCAGTTATGACTTAAGGACGTAGGCCCCCTAGTTGTTTAATATAGTAGCACACACATGCTTTAGTAGTCATGCAAAACAAACACTCGCAAATTATTATACAATAAAATCTGCAAATTTATATTATTAGGAATAAATCATTGTCAAAATCATTCTATAAACTGGGGTAAAAATAATTGACCATTAGCCAGAAATTTGAAGAAAGGTCGACGAACTTCTTTGAACTAAGAATATTATAAATTTTTGCCTGTATTAATTGTTTTCCTTTATTTGGAATGACCACGGTTATTGTTTTAGCTATTGAGTGAATGAAAACAATAAATACTACAATCTATGATATTATGATCGGTAACGTATGGGAAAAGACTACATTGGACTTGGCATTTATGAGAACATTTAAAGCTCTGAGATATTATGTATTATAAGTATTCTAAGATCTTTGAGGCATGAAAATCATAACAAATTTACAAGTCTTGCAGAAGTATTAGGCACATTTAAATGCACTAAACCAATTATTCATTCAATGGCTGAGTTTACTTTAGTTTAGCTTAGTTTACTTTCCTTTACTCTACATTTCTTTTTATTATTTAGTTTAGTTTACTTTAGTTTACTTTAGTTTACTTTAGTTTACTTTAGTTTAGTTTAGTTTAGTTTAGTTTAGTTTAGTATAGTTTAGTTTAGTTTAGTTTAGTTTAGTTTAGTTTAGTTTAGTTTAGTTTAGTTTTGTTTAGATTAGTTTAGTTTAGTCTAGCAATTAAAATTCTCTCGCCGCTTCCATCAAATAATAAAAATGTCAAATAATCATGTATTGATATATAATCAAAGATGAGAATGACACGTTACAAATATATACATGTATACAAAATAAATAATTTAACATAATTATATTTTCTTTCAACCAAGTTATTGCGTCTGCATAAACCCAGGAGAGCGTAAAGGCATCGTCATGCGCTTAGTGATCATGATACTTTGCTGAATATAAATGTACAATCAATGTTCTTGTCTTTATCATGGGCGTATGATGATGAGATAAGTCATAAGTAATTATCACATAATTATGTATTTGTAACTTTGTATAATAACTTACAGCGTCAGTAGACAGACATAATATGTAGTGGAAAAATGAGTCATTAAAGGGATCCGGTAACTTTGTCTTGGATCCTTTAAAAAAATCCTTGATTTAGCTCATGCTGCAATGATAATTATAATTCTTTAGGTCAATGAGGAACCCCATGACTTTTACAAGCCGATCGCCTGTCTGATTATCAATAATAATATGATATTCTGTTGTTTATGTAGCGCTCAATACATCGATCCAACGATTTGCCTAAGCGCTTTACAGATATAGCTGAACAGATTCAAGCGCACACTTGCTCTGCCAACCACATGAACGTTCGCATCCTACCGGGTACCTTACACCAAGATATTTATGATTGAAAATCGAAATCAAACTTGGCGTTTGCCTAATACTACAGTCTATTGGGAAAAACGAGTATGGTGAAACCGGTCACTTAAAGGTTTTTACTTTTTGAGGCACTTTTTGATATTTTTGAAGCGCTTTTTTTTTGAGGGGGGGTGGGGGTTCATTATATAACACCATATCACCGACACTCAAGCGCGTACGCAGCGGAGGAAATTGTGCAAAAGGGTGACCAAAAAAAGTGACCTTACCCCCCCCCCCCCCCCCTTCACTGAACGAAATATCGATCGACGAAATTTTGAAATTTCCAGGCCCCCCCCCCTACCAAAAAAAATGTGCTCTTACCCCCCCCCCCCCCCCCCCCCCCCCACGACATCGTAATGAGAGTACGATTCGTTCCAACTAGGTCACGAAAGCGTCACGTGACCTCCCGATGGTATAAAACCTTCGAACGACGGAGGCCAACTGCTGATCGGAGATTAATGATGGTCAGAGCAGGGACGTCGGAGCGAATTCTAAAGTGGGGTACGGGACCAACAAAAAAGCGCACTTTCTTGAAAAAGGGTACCTACAAACGGAAATCTCAAAGACAATTTGTTAGACATTGGTGTATTCCCCTACATTGTGATTACATTAACTGGGATGCTTACAATATATGTTTCTCTTTAAACATCATACAAGATATTATTTAAGCAACATATAGTTTGCAGTTTGGTGTTTTAGTCTGAATATTTATATGTGGGCGAGGAAAATGTTAAAGATTTGTGAGGTTGCAGTGCGAAGAATTACATCTTATAATAAAAGAGAACAAATGCATGTTCGTGTCCTGTTAACTATTCAACAATAGAACTGCAGTCTACATACGTTTTAGGCAGAGGAGTCGTAAAGGCTTCCCAAGAAAAAAATAGGTTTAATCATTAATCATTAGTTTAATAATAATAATAATAGATTTATATAGCGCAGCTTTTATACAAAAAATATTCAGCTGCGCTGGTAAAGAGCTCCTTTTTACTAAATTCTACAAAATAAGATCACTCAGTTGAACAAATAAGTTTTTAAATTGGATTTAAAAACATTGAGAGATGGAGTGCTTCTTATTTCTATTGGCAAGCTATTCCATAAGTTGGGGGCGGCAATAGCAAAAGCACGGTCCCCAAGAGTTACTTTAGTTTTGCCATGGGGAATCTGAAACAGTAATTTATCTGTGGAACTGCGCAGGCTACGACTGTGTGATTGGACTTTGAGTTGAAGTAATTCTTTGATGTAATTAGGGGCTTGACCGCTCAATTATTTATAGACGATTAACAATATTTTGAATGAGATTCTTTGACGGACTGGCAACCAGTGGAGTTCTCTCAGAAGAGGTGCGGTTGAAGTGAATTCAGGGTTAGGTTAGGTTTAGGGTTAGGGTGTGGTGATATATCAGTTGTTATGATGTCCTGTTAATGTTTCATTTAGGGTTATATATATAGATGTCCTGTTAATACACCATGTAAATATTATACACACTGATGTTTTCACTTTAAAAAGTTGATGTTTGTAAAGGAAGTTTGAGTAGGTTTTGAGACAAAATCTTAACAAATATTGTCTAAGGAATGAAACCCGAGACATCTTGAAGGAGAGTTCAAAGTCTTAACAGTCAATAAACCTACATTAAAAAATGTTCATGTATTATGTAAAGGGGATTTCAAAAAATTGTATATATACAGGTTTAGAAATTATAAAAATTATTTGTTTTATTAATGATTGAATAAATTTTATACTCACTGATGTTTGCACATCAACAAAGTTGATCCTTGTAAGTTTGTATAGGAAGTTTGAGTAGGTTTTGAGACAAAATCTTAATATTACTCAAGTTTTTTAAGTTAAAAGTTCAAGCGATGAATTTTTGTTTAAAGTGGTGATATTTAGAGTATTCCAAAGAAGGTAACCCGAGAGATAGAGAGGCAGGCAGAGAGAGACACAGATAGAGAGAGAGAGGGGGAGAGATACAGAGAGAGAGAGAAGGAGAGAGGCGGAGACATACAGAGAGAGTGCATGTGGTGGATAAAGAAGGAAAGTCAATAAAAGACGATGTGACACACTCCCACATCTTCGCCCTCTCGAGGGCACTGTTTTCTCAGATTTTATCAAACTCGCCCCCCCCCCCCTCCTAATGAATCCAGTTCCCTATCAGTAGGTTCAACTTATAATACGCCATAACCAGAGGTAACCAGTGACACATGATTTGTATTGCTTCGAAATTCTTGAGCTTCCAGGGTCTCCACCCCTGGACCCCGCACTACGCTCTACTTGATCGTTAATACTTTAGCCCACCATATACATGATTAAAGTTTCAAAGATTCCTGGTGCCATAAGTAGTATTAACACAAGGATATCAATAAATTGATGATGACTATTCATAATTAACAGTTAATAATTCAATTATTTATACCCTTACCACGTCTTTCAATTTTTGAGTCATGTAAAAAAATTGGTTTGTCCCGATAAATATATTTCAAGAGAATGTGACATATCAAAGCTTACACCAAATAATTCAACAAAGGCCCTAATTTAACCAGTCCATCTTTCATTCTAATTGAGTTACAAAAATCAAATCAAATTCACAGGGGTGTAAATAATTCAGTTTTTAATTGTATGTTGCTTGCTTAGTGAAGGTGACTGAGCCCTCTATCTTCTTCAAACTAATGATTTTGACCTAATTAGAATGAATTTATAATCTTCAGGACACTTTACTTTTAGCGTAGCATAACTGTGCACTAATTATTTAAAAGAGAGGCAGGAATGAAACTGTTCACGAATTACAGACTACTTTGTGGTATTATATCTGTACTGATAAAAAGTATATTTTTAGCTAAATTGTGTATCGTGATCAAAAGTCTAATACTTGTTTTCAATATTGGTATCTATTTTTGGCTCTTGTTTTGTTTCATTATGTATTGTAACAGTTTACTATATATTAAATTGTTTATTGGTGAATGTTATTCTAATGATATTATGTAGTACAATGCTCTCTTGCAAAACTCTTTTGTGTACTGAGATGGCTACTCTGTGCAAAGAACTTAGGGAATATCACCGTTAGATTCATTAAAATCCGAGCTGTTAACAAAATGTTCTTGAATGGTGAATCACAAGTTTCTGTGAAATCAATACAGTGATGTTTTAACACGCATGAAGACCAAATTGGTATAATGCATTTAAAGGGATCCGGTAACTTTGTCTCAGATTCTGAAAACATATTCTGGATTAAGCTCATGATGTAATGATAATTATAAACCTTTAGGTCAGTCAGGAACCCCGTGACTTTTACAAGCCGATCGCCTGTCTGATTATCAAGATATTTATGATTGGAATTACAAATTTTGAAAACCGTTCGCCTGACGGTTTTCATAACACTACAGTCTATTGGGGAAAACGAGTATGGTAAAACCGGTCACTCAAAGATTTTTACTTTTTTGAGGCACTTCTTGATCATTTTGAAGCGCAATTTTTGTAGGGCTTCAATATTACATCATATCACAGACACTGATAACACGTAGGGCTGTGTATCTCAGATTTAACATTGTTAAACGATCCCTTTAATACTCAACGTACTATTATTACTTTTATTGTAAAGAACACAGAATAAACGAATAAACAAATAAATAAACAAAAACAAATGAAAATGATAGTTATGAACAAGCCTAAAGCTTGTTGTTTAAAAGACAAAAATGTAAGTTTGAACAATAAGTGTAATTAACACTGTAGTTTTCCTAGTCGCTTTAGTGTTACTTTTTATACATTTAAATTTAGAAAACTAATACTTTCGTTTACGTTTCCGTACCTCACTGCTTGAAATGTTTCTATGGAATGAGTGCACATTTTTTTCCGGTGACAGGATGGATTTGCTATAAATATTTCCAGAATACAATACTTCTCTACTTACACATTTTCTCAAGTTCAGCATCAAACCAGGATTTTTTTGTTTCTGTTTCATTTTTACTTCTCTAAAAGGAAAACAATCATTATACGTTTTCATAGAATATTCCATAAATGCATCAAATGCACTATTTACACAATCATGGTTAAAGATCTTATCCCAATCTGTCATTAGAAGTCTTTCACAGAACCTATAAATATTTGAGTAATTTATAGTACGCCTGTATATTGCACTAAAATCGTCATCAAAATGAATTTTTGGTTGACAAAAGATAAATAAATGGTCACTCCACAGTGAGGAGTATCCCAGCATTAACGATATTTTCAGGTCTGTGTGTTAAAATATTGTCTATAAGGCTGACAGATTGTGTAGTTATTCTAGTGGGTTATTTAATCATAGGTGCGTCAGATATGAATTTAAAAGATCAACAAATCTATCAACATTATTGCACATTGTAACCTTTGATGAATCTATATTAACATCTCCAACTAAAAAGCTTTCTTTCCCTTCTTTTGTTACCTGATGTAATGATAATTCTAGGGCATTTAGAAAATCAGGAATTGATTAAGCGGGTGGTTTATATTACATTGCAAGAAAATTGCAGAAAATAGTTTAAAGCAGTCCTCTTGACTTTCTCGAGTTGCAGGTCCTTTTGAGCCCTTTTTGAACAACTTCAGGGCCCATGTAGTCTTATGTTGGTCTGTATTGTGTATAGTTGGTTTTCTGGACTAAACGAACATTTTTAACCAAAATATTTGTTCTGAAATGTATAAAAACACCGGCGGTGGGGCCCCCATGAGACATAATAATTGGGCACTTTGGGCACCGATTTTCAAAAATCAGTCGGTGGTATCGTTTTAAAGGTAAAGACCAGTATTGGCAACGCCCCAATTTCAAAAAATGAAATGGAAGCTCTCATTACCAATCATGTGAAAGAATATGTTTTGACTAATACATGATGATAAAAAATTTGCCGGGAAACCGCCTACTAATTCATATATTTGGTAAACTTATTTCTCTCATGGTCTGGTGAGAGAGATAGGGTAGTCCCATATACATCTTTCTGTGTATAGTGCTTGTAACTTTACGAAGAATGGGCCAAATTTCTTATCATTTTGATGATTCCAGAACCTTGCAGATGCTAGATGCTAGATGATCAACCTTTTCTGATCGATTCCACAACGTTTCTTTCACAATGCAATCGCATGACCATTACTGGTCTTTACCTTTAAGCATTACATTTTACTACGGAATACGCAATAAAATTAAGGTGAACACCAATTCTCCGTTGGAGCCCTCTGTGTACTAAATTATAGTCCAGACATTCAATTTCCTATTCACGCTATTTCTTCACTTCGGCATGCTGTCACCTCATTCTTCAATAAAATTGATTAGATTACGAAAATGGCCAATAAAATACGTTATTTATCTCGATTTGGAGACATACATACACACACACACACACTCACACAAATAAATGTACATTTCTATGCATCTTCAAAGTGACACACATAAATAATGGTTCTCATCGATCTCCTTTTAAGAAATAAATGGTAATAAAATGTCTAGTTTGTTTGTTTATTTGTTTTTTGTTTTTTGTTTTTTTACCTGGCTGCTAAGAGAATGTATATCGAATCCTTTATCTAAATGAAATTGATTAATAATTCAGTTTTCTTAAGCGGATACACCAATGAAACAGGAAGCCAGAAAAATGGATTTATTAAAAAATAACAAAAACAGGAAGTAATACAGATTTGTTATGCGTACATGCAATATTAGTTGCGGATCTAAGCATCCTATGTTTGTATGTATTTATTTTCATTACAACAGTTAGGAAATTATCAGTCATTTTTCTCATAAACACTTTAGAAAGCAGATATGAGCTTGGTTCTCTCCGTATACAACATAATATTGTAATTGATACAAAGGCACTAGGGGACTAGCGCAGCCTGATAAGAGTTACAGTAAGCTCCTCATCGATGTGCATATGGACATCTTTCATTTGTTGATTGCGTTATTGTTTAATAGGCAAAGGTGGAGAATCTTCCATTTCTGTTAATCATTATTAACTCCCTTTCTCAGACTGCATAATTATATAGTTGGTAAGACCAAACAAAGAAGGGAGGTATCTACACAGCTTTTGCTCATTGTGAATCTTTTCTGTATTCTGAGAACTTTTTTATGATTGCTTCTACACTGTGGACAAGGAATCACCTCAGTACATCGGACGTGTCTTGAACTCTTTTCACATCCTCGACTCAAACAACTTTTTATATTGTTCTGGTCGACATCGTAGCCCAACTCGTTATAAAACATCGTCATGTACACGTATGTACATCTCCTGCAGTATTGGCTATAAGTACTATAACCATGAATTTTGAGAAAGATTTCGTGAACTCTTGATATATCCTTAATAGTACTGTTGACAAGAATAAAGTCAATTCTCAACCGACGGATTTAACCTTTGCATTAGGTAGCTCGTTACTGGAAGCTTCGTCTTCAATCTTACCAACTAGGAAATCACCATGTTGGTGTCTCCTGTTATTCGTGGAACAGTCTCGAGGATGCCTGTCTTCCTGTGGATTGTGGGTGCACTGTCTTTGGTTACTGGATCACTACCTTTTGAGGATGTTCCAAGACAATTGGGATTTGTCTCACCTGGGCCCCATGGATGCCGCCTTAAATTTTCTGACCTTGGAACCAACGCAACCTGTACTAGCCTGGATCTCAGATATGTTCCTCAAGATCTTCCAATGAACACCATAATGCTTGATCTCTCATACAACAAGATTACAACGCTCTACAATGAATCTTTCGTCTATCTCATAGACATAATCTCGCTCTGGGTAATAGAAAATCGTCTCCGACGGCTGGAGGAAGGAGTATTCCAGCCCTTGATTCATCTAAAAGAATTATCACTGCTAAGAAATCGGTTAGTTTCTCTTCCCTCGGGCTTGTTCAGCTCAAACCATCGTCTCTCAAAACTCATCCTCGCTGGAAACCAATTTGGTTTAATTCCAAGTAGCTCGTTACCATTATTAAACAATATGACTTTTCTTGATTTAGTTTCCAATAAAATTTCCACCATCAGTCCCCATGATTTTAGTCCTTTGGAGAATTGCTCGTTGACTAGACTCTCTCTGAGGGCGAATGCTTTACATGATCTGCCATCCAGAGTATTTTCATATTTGAGGAAAATTGACACATTGTCTCTTAACAAAAATGTCTTTTCTGAACTTCACATTTCTTCCCTTTTAGGAAATACTAATATTCAAAGGCTTTACTTGAAAAGCTGTAAAATAAATGGTATAGTTCCACTTAACCGCTCTTCTGTAACCTTGGATGGCCTGCCTACAATCATTAATTTAAGCTTGGTAGGAAACAGGATAAATTCCATAGTAGACTTCACATTTTGGGGTTTAAATCGTACAAATGTTCTTGAACTTCAGGCAAACCGCATTGCTCTGATATCAAATAAACCTTTTTGTGGATTGGACCAGCTGATAGAGTTAGATCTATCTCATAATAAGTTAGCTTCCTTAAGCTCCGGTATATTTTCCTGTAACAAAATGTTACAGAGAATAAAACTTGCTGGGAACAACATTGCTAGTTTTTCAACTGATATACTATCTGGTCTGCCTTTTTTAACCCACTTAAGCCTTTCACAAAATAGCATCGGTGACGTTGTGAGCAATCATTCTCTGATAATTCCTTCCCTGGAATATCTGGATCTTTCTTTCAATAAATTCAAATTGATCGAAAAGTTTTTCCTTTGGGGTATGACAAATCTCAAAATACTGAACGTGTCCCATAATGAAATTAAAAATGCTTACTCTTCCTATACCTTCGCAAAGTTGGAATATCTGAAAGAGCTTCATCTCACAAATGAACAGTACCAAGGCATAAGTACAGTATTTAGATCCATGGGTCGTCTTTCTAAATTGGATTTATCATTTTCAAAATTGCGGTTTATATCCCAAAGTCCATTCAAAAACACTTCGTCTCTTGTGACACTGGTTATGCGTGAAAACGAATTAAAGAGTACAGATTTGCTTAGTATGTCTAATAAATCACTTTTTGTTGGACTGAAATCATTGGACAAGCTAGACTTAAGAGGGAATCATCTAGATACCTTACAATCAGGTACTTTCAACCCTCTTGTGAAACTCCGAAGATTGTATTTGTCTATGTGTTCTATCAAGGCATTGAATCCGAGAATCTTTAGCAGTCTCGCTTACCTATCAAGCCTGTATCTTGACCAAAATGAAATCACGAAGATACCTGAGGATCTGCTTCAGAGGCAGCATCGCCTTACTGTCCTAGACATAAGCAACAATAATCTTGACTTGATTCCTAGGACACTGTTTAACAAAACTCCGTTTCTGCACAGCCTTTATATTGATGGAAACAAAATTTCCACAATTAAACCTAAGACCATGTTTCCAAGAAACAGTACACTGTTACTTGATGCGTCTCGAAACCCCTTTTCCTGCACATGTGACCTTAGTTGGTTTGTGCAGTGGATCCGTTCTAGCAAAGTTGATATCATTCATCCTGAAGACACACTTTGTTCACCCACTTCAATCGAAAAAGAAATACATTCACCTATCCTGTCATTCCATCCCGAGCAGTACTGTGGCATCAACATTCTGGCTGTCACATGTGCACCCTTTGCAGTTGTTCTGCTTGCAGTGATATGCTTCATGGCTTACTGGAATAGATGGTGGTTCAACTACAAGATCTTCCTCCTAAAGCTAGCAATCTGTGGTTACGAGGAAATCAATCATGACTTTGATGCTCAAGAATATGAGTACCAGCTTAATCTTATGTACATTGAAGATGACGAGGGGTGGGTGGACGAGATCATGAAGCCGGTCCTGCAGGAGAGGTTTCCACATCTGCAAAAAGTGGTTTGGGGCGACAACAACCTCAACATCTCGATGTTCTACATCAACGCTCTTCATTATGCAACAGACAACAGCTTCAAGACTGTCCTGTTGCTTAGTTACAACTCGGTGGATGATGCCTGGTTCCTGACAAAGCTGCGCATAGCCCTAGAGCATCTTAACGACACCAGGCTGGACAAGGTCATACTGATTTTCCTTGAGGACATCAAGGATGATGACCTTCCGTACCTGGTACGGTTGTTCCTGAGTAAGAACAAACCTTACATGCTTTGGACCGAGGATGAAGATGGCCAGAAACTTTTCTGGGCCCAATTTGAAAAAAGCATGAGGACAAACAGGGCATTCAATAATGTTATTCCTATTTAGTTTCAATTCAAAAGGCAACAGCTCTTAAACAGATTTGATCTTATATATATATATATATATATATATATATATATAAGAACATAACAAAAATAATTATATGATATTGTTGTAGTTTGAAAATAGAGTATAGTATGTGACCGATAAATATTGTAATATTCTTCTATATCACTAAACATGCTGAAATGATCATTTGCCTGTACAAGTTAGAAATACATGTCCAGTATTTCCAGAACACAATTGTGAAAATCACTTAAACACGTAACATTGAGTGAGGGTTCTAGGACAATCACAGACTGGGTACACAACTGACCAATTACCAGCGGGACAATTTACCCCCAAGAACAATTACCCCCGGAAAATTACCCCCTCCCCCCCCCCCCCCCCGAGGTCAACCTCCCCCCCCCCCCCCCTTCAGGAAAATTACCCCCTGTAAATTACCCACCGAAGACAGTTACCCCACCCCCTGATATCATCCCCTTAGACGATCACGTCCCTCCATCCCCGAGAACAATTACCCCCCGAAAAGGAATTCTTCTAATTATTAAAACTAACTCATTATAAGGGTGGACTTCCCCTTTAAAGAACAAAGGGGTAATATTCGGGCGGGATGATAATTGTCCTCGGATTAATTGTCCTTGGATGTTCTGGGAGAGGGGGGGTAATTGTTCAATGGGGTATTTTTCCGGAGGTTATTGTCCTGGGGTAGTTGTCCTTGGGGGTAATTTTCCGGGAGGTAATTTTCCGGGGGGTTATTGTCATTGGGTGGTAGTTTTCTGGGGGTAATTTATAGGGGTTGATTGTCCAAGGGGTAATTGTCCTGATACATTGAGTTATAATTATGTTGATCATAGGCAAATACAAATCTAACAGAATAATGTACTTGAAGACTTCATTTCTAACCATCAGCCAGAAATTTGAAGAAAGTTTGACAACTTATTTGTCATCATTTATAACGTATCGCTAGAAAAAGGACAATGAACTGTTTAATTTTGTGTACATAATATTGTATTTGATCTTTCTATGGCCTACCTGTTACCAAGTATTTTTGAACTAAGAATATTATAAACATTTGCAACTATGGTTTTCCTTCATTTTGAATGACCACGGTTGTTTTATTGGCTATTGAATGAATGCAAACAATTTATGAAAACATGTAAAGGTTTTAGATATATGGTATTATAAGTATTTAAAGGTTTTTGAGGCAGGAAAATCAAAACACATTTACAAAATCTTGCCGAAGTATTAAGCGCGTGTATATGCACTGAAAACAATTAGGCCTATTGATTCAATGACTGTGCGCGTGAACAGATAGTTTAGTTTAGCTGAGTTTACTTTACTTTAATCTACTTTTCTTTGTATTGGTTTACTTTAGTTTAGTTTACTTTACTTTAGATTACTTTACTATAGTTCAAGTTAGTTTACTTTGGATTACTTTAGGTTACTTTATTTTACTTTACTTTATTTTAGTTTAGCTTAGTTTAATTTAGTTTTATTTAGTTTAGCGATTAAAAAAAGTACAATTGCCATAACAATGATTCTCTCGCTGTTTCCATACAATAATAAGAATGTCAAATAATCATGTATTGATATAGAACCACAGATGAGAATGATAAATCACATGTATATACATATATAAAACCAATAAAAATTTAACATGATTATATTTTCTTCCAAGCAAGTAGTTGCATCTGCATGAAGCCAGAAGAGAGTTAACGCATCATCATTGCACTTAGTACTACTAATACCCTAATTATTACTCTCAGCCGGCTATAGAGTTAGACAGGACAAATGCCGATGATCATGATATTTTGCTGAATATGCATGTACAATCAATGTTCTTGTCTTTATCATGGGCGTATAATGATGAGATAAGTCATAAGTAATTTCCATATATATATATATTTGTACATTTGTATATATACCTTACAGCGTCATTAGACGGACATAATATGTGGTAAAAAAAATGAGTCATTAAGTAGACATGGTGATTGGCAGGAGATTTTCGTGTCCTGTGAACTAATTGCACAATAGAACTACTTCCCTCTAGCTCTATGTACGTTTTAGGCAGAGGAAACTTAAAGGCTTCCCGCAAAAAATACGTTTAATCATTAATCATTAGTTTAATTAGTTATATTGTTTTGAATTTAAGGTTAGGATTAGGGTCGGGGTGATATACCAGTTTTTATGATGTCCTGTTAATGTTTCATTTAGAGTTATATATAGATATCCTGATAATACACCATGTAGGGTTATATATATATGTGTATATATATATATATATATATATATATATATATGTATATATTATACACACTGATGATTTCACATTAAACAATTTGATGTTTGTAAAGGAAGTTCGAGTAGGTTTTGAGACAAAATCTGAACAAGCATTGTCTAAGGAATGAAACCCGAGACATCTTGAATGAGAGTCCAAACTCTTAACAGTCAATATACCTACATTTAAAACATTAACATGTATTATGTAAAGGGGACTTCAATTTGATAAAAATTGTATATATACAGATTTAGAAATTATAAAAATGATTTGTGTTATTAATGATTGATTAAATGTTATACTCACTGATGTTTGCACATCAAAAAAGTTGATTTTTGTAAGTTTATATAGGAAGTTTGCGTAGGTTTTGAGACAAAATCTTAATATTACACAAGTTTTTTAAGTTAAAAGTTCAAGCGATGAATTTTTGTTTAAAGTGGTGATATTTAGAGTATTCCAAAGAAGGTAACCCGAGAGAGAGAGAGGCAGGCAGAGAGAGACACAGATAGAGAGAGAGGGGAAGAGATACAGAGAGAGAGAGAGAGAAGGAGAGAGGCAGAGACATACAGAGAGAGTGCATGAGGTGGATAAAGAAGGAAAGTCAATAAAAGACGATGCAACCAACTCCCACATCTTCGCCCACTCGAGGGCACTGTTTTCTCAGATTTTATCAAACTCGCCCCCCCCCCTCCTAATGAATCCAGTTCCCTATCAGTAGGTTCAACTTTTAATACGCCATAACCAGAGGTAACCAGTGACACATGATTTGTATTGCTTCGAAATTCTTGAGCTTCCAGGGTCTCCACCCCTGGACCCCGCACTACGCTCTACTTGATTGTTAATACTTTAGCCCACCATATACATGATCAAAGTTTCAAAGATTCCTGGTGCCATAAGTAGTATTAACACAAGGATATCAATAAATTGATGATGACTGTTCATAATTAACAGTTAATAATTCAATTGTTTATACCCTTACCACGTCTTTCAATTTTTGAGTCATGTAAAAAAAATTGGTTTGTCCCGATAAATATATTTCAAGAGAATGTGACATATCAAAGCTTACACCAAATAATTCAAAAAAAGCCCAAATTCAACCAGTCTATATTTCATTCTAATTGAGTTACAAAAAACAACATCAATTTCACAGGGGTGTAAATAATCAGATTTTAATTGTATCTATCTCGCTTAGTGATGGTGACTGAGCCCTCTATCTTCTTCAAACTAAAGATTTCTGACCTAATTAGAATAAATTTATAATCTTCAGGACACTTTAATTTTAGCGTAGCATAACTGTGCACTAATTATTTAAAGGAGAGGCAGGAATGAAAACTGTTCACGAATTATTGACTACTTTGAGGTATTTTATCTATACTGATAAAAGTATATTTTTAGCTAAATTGTGTATCGTGATCAAAAGTCTAATACTTGTTTTTAATATTGGTATCTATTTTTGGCACTTGTTTTGTTTCATTATGTATTTTAACAGTTTACTATTTATTAAATTGTTTATTGGTGCATGTTATTCTAATGATATTATGTAGTACAATGCTCTCTTGCAAAACCCTTTGTGTACTGAGAAGACTACTGTGTGTAATGAACTTAGGGAATTTCACTGTTGGGTTCATTAATATCCGAGCTGTTAACAAAATGTTCTTGAATCGTTAATCACAAGTTTCTGTGACATCAATACAGTGATGTTTTAACACGCACGGAGACAAAATTGGTATCATGCATTTAATACGCAACGTACTATTATTACTTTTATCGTAAAGAACACAGAATAAACGAATAAACAAATAAATAAACAAAAACAAATAAAATTGATAGTTATGAACGAGCTTTAAGCTTTTTTTTTTTAAAAGACAAAACTGTAAGTTTTAATAATAAGTGTAATTAACACTGCAGTTTTCCAAGTCGCTTTAGTGTTACTTTTTATACATTTAAATTTAGAAAAATAATACTTTCGTTTACGTTTCCGTATCTCACTAGTTGATATGTTTCTATGGAATGAGTGCACATATTTTCCGGTGACAGGATGGATTTGCTATAAATATTTCCGAAATACAATACTGCTCCACTTACACATTTTCTTAAGTTCAGTATCGAACCAGGATTTTTTTGTTTCTGTTTCTTTTTTACTTCTCTAAAAGGAAAGCAATCATTATACGTTTTTATGAAATATTCCATAAGTGCATCGAATGCACTTTTTACACAATCATGGTTAAAGATCTTATCCCAATCTGTCATTAGAAGTCTTTCACAGAACCTGGAAATATTTGAATAATTTATAATACGCCTAATATTGCACTAGAATCGTCATCAAAATGAATTTATGGTTGATAAAAGATAAATAAATGGTCACTCATTTATCCCATGCAGCATCAACGATATTTTCAGGTCTGTTTGTGAAAATATTGTCTATAAAGCTGACATATTGTGTAGATATTCTAGTGGTTTTTACAATCATAGGTGCATAAGAATATGACTTTAGAAGATCAACAAATCTGTCAGCATTATTGCACATTGTATCTTTGATGAATCTCTATTAACATCTCCAACTAAAAGGCTTTCTTTCCCCTCTTTTGTTACATGATGTCATGACAATTCTAAGGCATTTAGAAAATCAGGAATTGATTTAGCGGGTGGTTTATATAAAATTGCAAGAAAATTGCAGAAAAAAGTGTAAAGCAGTCCTCTTGACTTTCTCGAGTTGCTGGTCCTTTTGAGCCCTTTTAGACCAACTACAGGGCCACTGTAGTCTGCTGTGGGTCTTAACTTGTACCATACTGTATTGTGTATAGTTGGTTTTCTGGACCAAACGAACATTTTTAACCAAAATATTTGTTCTGAAATGTATAAAAACACCGGCGGTGGGGCCCCCGTGAGACATAATAATTGGGCACTTTGGGCACCGATTTTCAGAAATCAGTCGGTGGATCGTTTTAAGCATTACATTTTACTACGGAATACGCAATAAAATTAAGGTGAACACCATTTCTCCGTTGGAGCCCTCTGTGTACTCAATTATAGTCCAGACATTCAATCTCCTATTCACGCTATTTCTTCACTTCGGCATGCTGTCACTTCATTCTTCAATAAAATTGATTAGATTACGAAAATGGCCAATAAAATACGTTATGTATCTCGATTTGGAGACATACACACACACACACACACACACACACCACCACCACACACACAAATAAATGTACATTTCTATGCATTTTCAAAGTGACACACATAAACAATGGTTCTCATCGATCTCCTTTTAAGAAATAAATGGTAATAAAATGTCTAGTTTGTTTGTTTATTTGTGTGTTGTTGTTTTTTTTATTTACCTGGCTGCTAAGAGAATGTATATCGAATCCTTTATCTAAATGAAATTGATTAATAATTCAGGTTTCTTAAGCGGATACGCCAATGAAACAGGAAGCCAGAAAAATGGATTTATTAAAAAATAACAAAAACAGGAAGTAATACAGATTTGTTATGCGTACATGCAGTATTAGTTGCGGATCTAAGCATCCTATGTTTGTATGTATTCATTTTCATTACAACAGTTAGGAAATTATCAGTCATTTTTCTCATAAACACTTTAGAAAGCAGACATGAGCTTGGTTCTCTCCGTGTACTACATAATATTGCAACTGATACAAAGGCACTAGGGGACTAGCGCAGCCTGATAAGAGTTACAGGAAGCTCCTCATCGATGTGCATATGGACATCTTTCATTTGTTGATTGCGTTATTGTTTAATAGGCAAAGGTGGAGAATCTTCCATTTCTGTTAATCATTATTAACTCCCTTTCTCAGACTGCATAATTATATAGTTGGTAAGACCAAAAAAGAAGGGAGGTATCTACACAGCTTTTGCTCATTGTGAATCTTTTCTGTATTCTGAAGACTTTTAATGATTGCTTCTGCACAGTGGACAAGGAATCACCTCAGTACATCGGACGTGTGTTGAACTCTTTTCACATCCTCGACTCAAACAACTGTTTAAATTGTTCTGGTCGACATCGTAGCCCAACTCGTTATAAAACATCGTCATGTACACGTATGTACACCTCCTGCAGTATTGGCTATAAGTACTATAAACATGAATTTTGAGAAAGATTTCGTGAACTCTTGATATATCCTTAATAGTACTGTTGACAAGAATAAAGTCAATTCTCAACCGACGGATTTAACCTTTGCATTAGGTAGCTCGTTACTGGAAGCTTCGTCTTCAATCTTACCAACTAGGAAATCACCATGTTGGTGTCTACAGTCTCCCGGATGCCTGTCTTCCTGTGGAGTGTGGGTGCCCTGTCTTTGCTTTCAGGATCACTACCTTTTGTGGATGTTCCAAGACAATTGGGATTTGTCTCACCTAGGCCCCATGGATGCTGCCTTAAATTTTCTGACCTTGGAACCAACGCGACCTGTACTAGCCTGGATCTCAGATATGTTCCTCAAGATCTTCCAATGAACACCATAATGCTTGATCTATCATACAACAAGATTACAACGCTCTACAATGAATCTTTCGTCTATCTCATAGACATAATCTCGCTCTGGGTAATAGAAAATCGTCTCCAACGGCTGGAGGAAGGAGTATTCCAGCCCTTGATTCATCTAAAAGAATTATCACTGCAAAGAAATCGGTTACTTTCTCTTCCCTCGGGCTTGTTAAGCTCAAACCGTCGTCTCTCAAAACTCTACCTCGCTGGAAACCAACTTAGTTTTATCCCAAGTAGCTCGTTACCGTTGTCAAACAGTATCACTTTGCTTGATTTAGATTCCAATAACATTTCCACCATCAGTCCCCATGATTTTAGTCCTTTGGAGAATTGCTCGTTGACTAGACTCTCTCTGATGTTGAATGCTTTACATGATCTGCCATCCAGAGTATTTTCATATTTGAAGAAAATTGACACATTGTCTCTTAAAGTAAATGTCCTTTCTGAACTTCACATTTCGTCACTTTTAGGAAACACCAACATTCAAAGACTGTCGTTGGGAGGCTGTAAAATAAATGGTATAGTTCCACTTAATCACTCTTCTGTAACCCTAGATGGCCTGCCTACAATCATTCATTTAAGTTTGGCACCAAACAAGATAAGTTCCATAGCCGACTTCACATTTTGGGGTTTAAATCGTACAAATGTTCTTGACCTTCGGTTTAACCGCATTTCTGTGATATCAAATAGATCTTTTTGTGGATTGGACCAGATGATGGAGTTAGATCTATCCCTTAATCGATTAGCTTCCTTAACCTCTGGTACGTTTTCCTGTAACAAAATGTTACAGAGAATAAAACTTGCCTTTAATAACATTGCTAGTTTTTCAACTGATATACTATCTGGTCTACCTTCTCTAAGCTACTTAGACCTCACACATAATAAGCTCGGTGATGTTGTGAGTAATGATTCTATGATAATTCCTTCTCTGGAATATCTGGATCTTTCTTACAATGAATTCAAATTGATCAACAAGTTTTTCCTTAGGGGTTTGACAAATCTCAAATTACTTAACGTGTCCCAAAATGAAATTCGTGATCAATACTCTGACTATACTTTTACAAAGTTGGAATACCTGACAGAGCTTTATCTCACAAATGAAGATTTTCAAGGCATAAATACAGTTTTTAGCTCCATGGTTCGTCTTTCTAAATTGGATTTATCATTTTCAAAATTGCATTTTTCACCCAAAAGTCCGTTCCAAAACACTACGTCTCTTGTGACACTGGTTATGCGTGAAAACCAATTAAAGAGTACACATTTGTTTAGTATGTCTAATAAATCAATTTTTATTGGACTGAAATCATTGAACAAGCTAGACTTAAGAGGGAATTATCTATCTTTCTTGCAAGCAGGTACTTTCAGCCCTCTTGTTAAACTCAGAATATTATGTTTGTCTGAATGTTCTATCAAGGTATTAAGTCCCAGAATATTTAGCAGTCTCGCTTTCCTATCAAGCCTGTATCTAGACCAGAATGAAATCACGATGATACCTGAGGATCTGCTTCAGAGGCAGCATCGCCTGACTGTCCTAGACATAAGCAACAATGAATTTGACTTGATTCCTAGGACATTGTTCAACGGAACTCCTTTTCTGCACAGCCTTTATATAGATGGAAACAAGATTTCCAAAATTGAACCTAAGACTATGTTTCCAAGTAACAGTACATTGTCACTAGATGCGTCTCGAAACCCCTTTTCCTGCACATGTGACCTTAGTTGGTTTGTGCAGTGGGTCCGTTCTAGCAACGTTGATATCATTCATCCTAATGACACACTTTGTTCACCCTCTTCATTCGAAGAAGAAGTGCATTCACCTATCATGACATTCCATCCCGAGCAGTACTGTGGCATCAACGTTCTGGCTGCCACATGTGCCCCCTTTGCAGTTGTCTTGCTTGCAGTGATATGCTTCATGGCCTACCGGAATAAATGGTGGCTCAACTACAAGATCTTTCTCTTAAAGCTAGCAATCTGTGGTTACGAAGAAATCAGCCATGACTTTGATTCACAGGAATATGAGTACCAGCTTAACATTATGTACATTGAAGATGACGAGGGATGGGTGAACGAGGTCATGAAGCCGGTCCTGCAGGAGAGGTTTCCACATCTGCAAAAAGTGGTTTGGGGTGACAACAACCTCATCATCTCGATGTTCTACATCAACGCTCTCCATTATGCAACTGACAACAGCTTCAAGACTGTCCTGTTGATTAGTTACAACTCGATCGATGATGCCTGGTTCTTGACAAAGCTGCGCATAGCCCTAGAGCATCTTAACGACACCAGGCTGGACAAGGTCATACTGATTTTCCTTGAGGACATCGAGGATGATGACCTTCCGTACCTGGTACGGTTGTTCCTGAGTAGGAACAAACCTTACATGCTTTGGACCAAGAACAAAGATGGCCAGGAACTCTTCTGGGCCCAATTTGAAAAAAGCATGAGCAAGAACAAGGCATTCAATAATGTTATTCCTGTTTAGCTTCGATTCAAATTGGCAACAGCTCTTTAACAGATTTTGCTTTACATTAAAGAAAATAACAACAAACTGTGGTTTGTTGCAAAAAATTTATCATGCAAAACTTGACCTGAAAATTAATTGTATGATAAATTTTTGTTTGAAAATAGATTGAAATACGTGATCAATGATTATTGTAATATTCTTTTATTTCACTAAACATTTTGAAATAATTTTGTGCCTACAGTATTTCAAGGACGGAAATGTGGAAATCACTTAAACACTTACCATTGAATAATTATTATGCTGATCACAGGCAAATAAAAATTAACAGGTGTAGAAATAATTTACTTGAATAATTTGTTTCTTACCATTAGCCAGAAATTTGAAGAAAGGTCGATGACTTCTTTTTCATCATTAATAACGTATCGCTAGAAAAATGATAATTAACCTTTGTACATAATATTGCGTAGAGTGGTGCAGTAGTTATGTTATATTTGTTTGTAAATGGTCCTTCTATGGCCCAATTACCAAGTATCGCTGAAAAAAAGAATATTAGAAAAATTTGAAACTATTGTTTTCCTTTATCTGGAATGACTACGGTTATTGTCTTGGCTATTGAGTGAATGTGAATGCAAACAATATATATACTACAATCTATGATATTACGATCGGTAAGGTATGTGACAAGACTACCCTGGACTTGACATTTATGAGAACATGTAAATCTTCTAGATTATGGGATTATAAGTATTATAAGGTCTTTGAGGCATGAAATTCATAACAAATTTACAAAATCCTGCTGAATTATTCATCCAATAACTGCACACGTGAAAAAGAAGAGTTTAGTTTAGTTTAATTTAGTTTAGGTTAGGTTAGGTTAGTTAAGTTTAATTTAGTTTAGTTTAGTTTAGTTTAGTTTATCTTAGTTTAATTAAGTTTAGCACATACAAAAGTACAATAGGCATAACAATTATTCTTTTGTGTTGTAAATGAAATAATATAAGTGTCAAATAAACATGTTTTAACGTAGAATCACAGATAAGAATGACAAATTACAAAATACATGTATAAAAAATATAAAAAAGTAGTAGGTTTCGAGACAAAATCTTAATATGACTCAAGGTTTTGAAAAGGGTATTCGATTTATTAACGATTTGATGGATAGTAATGGAAACTTATTGTATCACAAGAAATGTGAGGAGAAGTTTAATTTGAAGCTTAATCATTTGTCTTATTATTCAGTTTTTCAAGCAATAAAGTGCAGATATAGTGAATTTTATCAAACATGTCAAACACATTTGGAAGAACCTTCAATTAATTTCCATATTAAAACATGTATCCATGAAAACAAAAATAGGATGTAGATACATTCATAAGGTTCTTTTTGGAGAAACAAATTGTTTGTCTGGAATAAGTTTAAAGTGGGAAAGATATAGTGAATTACAATTTAGCAGCTTTATTAAAACAAACATATAACGTTATGATATTTCGTTTCACAACAGTTATTAGTATGAAATACTTTCAGTATAAGATTTTAAATAAAATTTTGTTTTTAAATAATCAACTATTTACGATGAAAATTGTAAACAATGAAGTATGTTCAGTTTGTAAAAAAGAAACAGAAAATATAGTACGTTTCTTTTAGGAATGTGAGATAGTAGAAAGATCTGGAATAAAACCTGAAACTGGATCTATGAAAGAACTCAAATAAGAATTTAGATCACTTAAAAACATATAATTTGGGGCTTTGAAGATAAGAGAAACGATGCTCTAAATTCCATTGTTATATTAATCAAACAAAAGCTGTTTATTTGTAAACTGAACAGTGTTGTTCCGCTTATTGATATGTCGAAAAAGAAAGTTTTACAATATTATAAAGATGAGAAATATATTGTACGTCTATCTGGATGACATTTTGTTGTTTGTATAGAAGGATTATTTTGAATGTGTGTAAAACATGCATATACATTTGATTTGTTTATTTGTGTGAAGATTGTTAATAAATAGCCTGTGGAGGGCTCGAAAATTGAAGAAGAAAAAAATGTTTGAAAGTTAAAGAATGTTAAAAATGGTGATATTAAGAGCATTTCAAAGAAAATAACCCGAGGGTTTCTAACCAGAGAAAGAAAGAGACAGAGACCAGAGACAGATGGAGACAGAGAGAGTCAGAGAGAGTGCATGGGGTGGATAAAAAAGGAAATTCAATAGAAGACGATGCGACCCGCTCCACAAAACTTCGCCCACTCGAGGGCACTGTTAGCTCAGTTTTCATCAAACTTGTGCCCCCCCCCCCTTTTGAATCCAGTTTCCTGTCAGTGGGCTCAACTTATAATACGCTATAGTCAGAGGTAACTAGTGACACATGATGTTTATCGGCTGAGAAATTAACGAAGATTTCTGATTTCATAAGCTTCATAAGGTTCACTGATTTATTGTCCATTTAGCGATGGAAATTTCTGGTATTTACATGGTACATGACATTAATGAACATATATATATATATATATTCGTTGAATGTATATCATATATGTATATAGTATATATATATATATATATATATTGTATAAATTCAATGAATGTCAATAGTACAAACTAATTCAATCAAACATATTTTGAGTTAACATATAAAATAACAAACAAACAAACAGACATAGGAATGTCATGCATCGAAAATAATAAACATGTTTACAAAAGTAAAGTGCAAAAACGATGAGTGTCATTCATGCATTGTATTGTATTATTATTTTTAATATTATTACTGTTATTTTTATAATTGTTATTTATATCTTTTAAAATTACCATTATCATTATCATCACCATCTTCTTCTTACTCTCCTCGGACCTTTTAGTGCATGATGACTTCGTTCGGAACTTAGATTTGGAGAGTGTGTTGCTTCAACATCGGGCTCCGATTTAGTCGCAACATATCTTGCAGTTTTCAACAAATCAGACATCTTCGTCTTTTCGTTAATTATATGATACAATGACCGTCTATATACAATAATTCAGATGTACTTATGATTTTGATGACAAAGTCATGAAACTGGCAGAATGAAAGTGATATTCATTGGAGTAAAATTTGTATAAATATAATATTCACATAATGGCCCCAGAAATGATTTTCAATACAGGAAACAAGCTGAATGAAAGTGAAATCGGAAAATACGACGCTGCTTTGATCGCAAGACTAATGATTAATCCCCCAGTCATGTAAAGAAGTCCACGTCACGGTCGAGAAGAAAAGCGGAGATGCTACATGACCTTAGTCTCAACGCATCGGATTGAATCATGCAAATTTAGCAGCTCGTGCGCAAAGGGGCGCAAAGCTTACAACTGACAGGCGTACGTAATACACCGCAGCATTGAGAGAGCTTGAGAGAGAGGGGAGGCGGAAGAGAGACAGGGAGTAAATGAGGGAGATGGAGAGAGAGAGAGAGAGAGAGAGAGAGAGAGAGAAAAAAAGAGAGAGAGAGAGCGGAAGAGATAGGGTGAGAGGCAATTAGGTAAGAAGGAAACATGAGATTGAACATGGAGGGAGAGAGAGAGAGGGGGAAAAAAGTGGGGAAAGGTGGGAAGCAATTTGGACGGCCGGAGATGAGTGAGTACTGAACAGAGCGAAACAAACAGAGACAGAGGGAAAAACAAAGAGAGATAAAAAGAGAGATCGAGGAGGGGGGGGGGAGGAAAATCTCAAGTAGAAAAATAAAACCTCATCAAAGAAACCAAATTGTGTTTATTTGCAAACCGCGGTCTCATTAAATATTCACGACAGCATGCACGAACAGATTCAAGTCGATAGAAATACGTTTTGGTCTTGCTAGACTAATCCTAGCCGACCACAAAACAAAGAAATAAAGATGGAAGGAAGAAGAAAGAAATAAAGAAGGACAAATAGGAGCAAGAAGAAGAAAAAAGAAGAAGGAGGAGGAAGAAGAACAAGAAGAAAAATTAGAAGAAGAGGGAGCTAGCCAGTAGAAGAAAAAAAAAAGTAGAAGAAGTAGAAGAAACAAAAAAGAAAGAAAGAAGAAATCTTCTACTACTGTAGTAGGCCCTATCATAATAGGCCCTACTTAATTTCTCGCCCTCGATTGTTTCAGATAATGATTCTCTATCGATATTGACGACCATAATGGAGTATTAATCTCGATCTCATTAAAGCAAAGTAATTCCAGATGATCATGCCCCCATATGTTTAGAGTGTGAGGAGGGAGAGGGGAGAGGAGCGGATCCTGACCTATATCCAGGGGCGGGTCCAGCCAGCGGCAAGCGAGGGGGAATATTCATGTTCGGCACAATCAGGCGCGTACACAGGGGGATGTTTGGGGGGTTAAACCCCCCTCTTTGGTAATTTTTTGTAAATTTATAAATGTTAAAACCCCCCCCCCTTGAAAAAATCCTGCGTACGCGCCTGGGCACAATAGATAAACACCTTTAAATATATACATGTAAAAAACTAGCAATATCAAAAATAAGACTTAGATTCTGTAACTAAAATCCATAAACACATTGCACAAGTTTCCAGAAATACAGCTGTAATTGTTTACAAATGTCCTATAAAAGTCAATACAAGCATGGTAAAATGATTTAAAAAGGTACTTTTTAAACAGCCTGCTGAGGGGAGGAGACAAGCACTTAGTATAGCTGCAATAACGATAAAAGTACAAAATAAAACAAGGTTTTTTTTTCTTTCTTTTCTTCAACTTTTATTGAGTATGTCAACTAGAAATGACAGTGGGCTATTTTTAAATATTTTTGTTTTGAATTGATATTATTGATAAATGGGAATACGGCGAAGAGTGATATTAGTGTTTTTTTTTCTTAGGTAACCAGGTCTGACAAATAGAGTGATTTGAAAGGGATTTTGCGAATTTTCTACAAAGTGCTAGTCTCCTCTCCTCAAGAGTTGGTAAATTTTATACTTGACATGCATTAGAATAGGTAATGTAACTAGGCCCTAAAATAATCTTAAATACTCTACGTTGTATTTTTTCAAGATTATTATTTTCATGGGTGTCGATCCCGGGGGGGATGGGGGGATATATCCCCCCCCCCCCAATATTTCAGGTGGGGGGATGGCCTGTACAATCATCCCCCCCCCCCCCCCAATAATTCACCATCAAAAAAAAAAAGAAATGAAGAGAAAAATTAAGGATGAGAGCCCGATGAGAGTAGTTAATGGTTATTACTCGCAAGATGACCATCAATATACACATTTTGCGATCTCATTTTCATAATACATACATATATACGAAGTAAATAAGACCGTATATGAGACAAGAATAGATTGAATTCTCGCTCATACGGCTTCATCAGGAGTTGATGAATTTATTCAATTTGTTCAATCAACAGCATCATAGAAATGCAGTGCGCCAAATGCAAAGACGCAGCG